TGGAACTTTGTAAGGAAGGTAATGTTCGGTTCATGAACAGAAAGTTTTTGAAAAGTACTGGAAGACTAAAAGGCTGGCACTACCAGCAATGTTTGAAATACCTTCCGTGAATACCGTTATTAAAATCGGTATTGCTAATAAATGGTAACTTTTAAAAATAACAAAAAATACCGTGAACAACAGATCGAATGTTGCAATTTTAGCTTGATTAATGAAAAACTTGTTTACAACTCAACTATTCTTTAACTGAACTCCCAGCAATAATCTATATAGATGTTAGAAAGGAATTCTAAACATTTATACCATACTTAAAAGTAAATAACATTCATTCTGAATCACATTCAAGTAAAAGATATGGTTGAACCACCTGTAGTTTAATGAGTTTGGTTTGAGGTTTCATTATGATTAACTTATAGTTCTTGGGGTCTGATATCTTTAGTGATATCTCCCCTGAACTCTGTTTGTATTGAATGGTATCTGTTTTATTTATTTTAAAAGGATGCAAAGTGTACGCTTTAACTGGTGGAATCTTTGGAACTATTTCAATCCTGTCAATGGTCGTCATTGGATATGATAGATACAATGTCATTTGTAAAGGATTCAATGGCGTTAAAATTACTGCAGGAAAGGTAAATCAACTTTCAATCATTAGTTCTCATAAATTTAAAACCTCATTGTACTTTGGTTTCAGGCTTTTGGATTGATTCTGTTTATGTGGTTGTACAGTACTGCGGTATGTCTTCCACCCTTCTTTGGTTGGGGAGGGTATGCTACTGAAGGAACTCTGATAACATGCAGTTATGATTATCTCACACAGGTTGCAGGATTATTAAACATCCTATTTTATTCTAATATTCATTATTTTTATAAAGAAATTGTGGAAGTGGATACAATTCTGATCAACAAGCATATCCTTTTGATGTTTGTCAATGAATTTTTATGTTTTTCTGTTTTGGAATATGTGATATCAACAAACAACTTTTGTAGAGATTGTCCAATGTCAAACAAAAAATTGGTTATTAAATAATCTTTTTCTGCCAGAAAAAAATTTATAAAGTTGATTTTATTCTTTTTTTGCTTAATTTACTTGATTTAATACAAACTCCTGAAATACCAGAAAAAAATTTATAAAGTTGATTTTATTCTTTTTTTGCTTAATTTACTTGATTTAAGAATTGTAAACTAGGTAAATATTGCTTGATGTAGAACGTTTTGTTTATCAAAATTCAAGGATAATTTCAAAGTTTTCTCTAAGTAATATTTTAGCGTCTGCTGATAACAAGACAAAGATTTGAAATCAACTAAATATATTTCTATCTAAAATACAACACAAGACCAAAGGGTCTAAAATAAGGTGGTTTATATCAAATGAATAAATATCAGCTGCTGTCTTCAGGAAACTTTACTGAAGACATTGAGGTAAAGAGTAAGACCACTTGTCCGCCACAATATATCTATTGATTTGTAAGTTTGACACCACTCTGAATTCGCTGAAAATTTATTACTCAATGACCATTAATTTGATTTTCTACAACAGGACTGGAATCACAAGACCTTCATGCTATACGCCTTCATCTTTAACTACTGTACTCCAATGGTTCTGGTAATCTCATTTTACACCCAGGTTAGCTCTAAGCTGAAAACTTTACAAGCAAAAGTATTTTTTATCACTTCTCCTTTTAGATTGTTAAAGCTGTAGTTATGCATGAAGCTGCTTTAAAGGCCCAAGCTAAGAAAATGAATGTAGAATCTCTAAGGTACAATTTTAAAGCTTGGCAGGTTAGTTTTTTGTTTTGAAAATTCTTTGATTGTCAGCAACAGCAGACATAGAGAAAATTGCATATTTGTCTTTTTTTATTTTGTTCATTCATTGTTCGTAAGCAAGTCATTTCATTCTTTTTTTCAACCATTCTAAAAAATAAAATTGTTTCATTTGTGCGCAAAATTATTCTATCTATTTGGTTTAGTAAAAAAATGTAACATAAGGTTTTCAAAATCTTTCAGAAGATTTCTTCGTTTACAAGTTTTATTCAAATTTTTACCAGCCGTTGCATTTAAAAGCATTACAAATATATAATATAATATTTTAAAAATAATCTGAAAACATTATCAATTGAAGATCACACCTAGCCTCAGTCAAAATTAGTTTCAATAATTATCCCATCCATAGAGTAAAGTTTTATCACTTGTAAATACTTTGTGGAATAACATGCACTATATTCACTGAAATAAAAAAACTCCTTTTATTAATTTTGTAGCTTTCCCGCATTTCCCTCATAAATTTCAAAATCCCCTAAAACTCTAATTTTCATATCCTTCATATACATAATATCATGATTAAATATCTAAACTATTTCCTCCTATCATTTTTGTTCACACAAAATACAGTTCAAATTAAAATATGTTATTTCATGCTCTTATTGGTTGGTTTTGGGGGGGGGAGGGGTAAGAGAATTTCTCTGACCAAGGACCACGGTTTCATAAGTGGAAGGAGGCAAGTTATAGTTTGCTTGTACTAAATATTAAGATCATTGAAATCAGTGATTTTTAGATCTGGAGAACAGGAAGGTGATTCAGCGGAAGTTAAAATAGCCAAGGTCTTGAAAATTCGATGCCAATCTGTATTAATGCTAAATCTACTAAACAAAATAGTTTAAATGGTCTGCAGTAAGCTTAATTTTATGTTATCCTTCATCCAAAGATATCAACAACTGATTCACAAATATAACCTTAAAAGCTGTCTCATAAAGAAGGAATTAGAAATCATAGATTATAATTTGGTAAAATAATATTTTTAATTATTGATTCTCTACAGAATTGAATTGCACATTTCTTGAATTTATTCTTACAGTCCCTTTAAAATGACAAGATATTTTTGATATTAGGTTGCTATTACAAATGTAATGCTATGGGTTTGTATCTGGTCTCCCTATGCCATAGTTGTTATGATTGGATGCTTTGGGAACATGCAACTTGTCACCCCAATGGTGGCAGCTTTACCATCCTTTTTAGGTAAAATAAATATCTTTATAAAAATTATATTCTGACATTTTAAAGCCTTTAATTCCAATATATAGCTAAAACAGCATCCTGCCTGAACCCTTTGGTCTATGCAATCTCCCATCCAAAATATAGAGAAGCTATGAGTAAAGAGATGCCTTGCTTGGGGATTGGTGTTGCAGGTATACTACAGGGTGTCCCAAAAAACATGGGAATTCAGTGACAAATTCGATATCCTCTTTGTTATAAATAAGCATTGTAATATCTAATTTCAAAAGCCATAATATTATTATGTCTGCTTAAGTTTATTTTATGAAAAGGGTAAAAGACTGCAATTATGTGTCTATGATAAACAGTGAAGACGGACAAGTTTACTTTGTTTGAATACTGCAGTTTTCTTGTTTTACTAAGTACACCCTTATGCAGTCAAAACATAAACAAACAAAATATGAATTTAGCAGACGAAACTCTTACAGATTACAGCTTTCTCAGTAGGTAGCACTGTACAAAATCAAAGAATTATTTGAAAAAACGATATCAAATTTGTCACTGAATTCCAATGTTTATTGGGACATCCTGTATCTATATAATACTGCTCTTTGCTCAAACATATATTTATCTATTTATATAAGTTAGCTATAGGCATAGCTATGATTCTTTTTTAATTCGAATTATATTTTTCATGGTGTTTTTCAAATTCCATGGGCAACCCAAGGTATTTTATCTAGTATGCTAATAATCTTATATTCAAAAATGAGAAAGGAATTGATTCCTTGCCACAAATTCTTAATTTCTTTTCCCTATATCTTTGGAACCCAATATTGTAAACCTATGATATATCAAACTCTTTTTAACTAAGTCCCTTTTTGTAAAAATACTAATTTTTATCACAGTTAATTATGTAAAGATGATTGTTTGTCGTTGACAATTATTCTTCACTTTTCTCAAAAATTATCTTACCTAATATTATGTTTTACAATTATTTCTCTCCAATAATATATCCCTATTTTAGGAGCTGGTCCAAAATCTGATGGAGCAACTACCGTAGCTACAACCAAAGCCTGAAATTGAAGAAGAAATAAAAATAACATGATAACAGAAACTTAATAAATATTAAGCATTTTAGACTTATTCTACATGTTGAAGATAGATTGATATGAAAACGATTGTAGGACAAATGATTGTAGGACAAATGATATTAAGCACCCAACCTTGAGACCAGATAACAAAGTCTTTTAATTATAATAATTTTGGTCAATTCTTTAATCAAGAGATTCAAGTTCAAGTAGGAATATAATATAATTTATAGCTTATTAAAAATTCAGGGGAGGGACTAGATGATGGACATCGTTTTTGTGATTGAACCAATTTTTTGTGAACGATTGTACAGTTCAGAAAAAAACAAATGTAGGACCAATAACTGATGGACAGTTAAGAGAAATTAAAAAACAATAGTCTTTTTAAATGAGCAAAAAAACGAACAATTTAAATCATTCTGACAATCTTGAAAACCGTTAATTTTCATAAAACAAAATTTTTTTCAAAAAGGCTAATGATGTGTAAGTAGTATAGTTATCTTTATTTTAATTCTAAAAGGTTTCTGCAGAGGAATTGAGTCTTTGCCACAAACTCTGATTTTCCAATCCCTATATCCTAGCAGCTGAATAAATAAATCTCAGTTATTTCAAACTATACATTCTGATAGATCAAATAATCTAAGCTTGTAATACCAAAGGTTTACACTATCAGGTTGCAAAGATATGGGAATTTGAAAATTTGAGTTTGTGTAAAGACTGAATTTCTTAGCAATTAAAAATAAAGGTGATACTTCTTCAAATGAATTTGATTTATCTGATGATTTCATATTTTGGGAATTGACTTACATAAATTTTACCATTATCAACTTAGAAACTCTATGATTTCATTAATCCGAAAATCCTCTTAGCTCATTCAGTATAAATTAGAGAAACAAAGTAAAGAATAGCACAGTTTTACACAAACTTTACTGGAAGTTCCTTCTCCAATCTAACTCAAATTAGATAAATTTGGATTTTAAAATTGGACTGATTAAAAATGAGTTGGAAACCTAGAGAAGGAGTTTACCTTGACTCCAATTACGGTCTAATCTATCCAGAAGGTATGCCATCATTAGTAAACTTATCACTGCAGACAATGATCAATCTAGTTATCTCCTCTCCATAAGAAAATTGTCAATAAATTTTAATCTATTCATTTTTGCTATTTCTAAGAAAATAAAAGGAGAATATATCTATCCAATATTATTAACCTGTATATACATCTCCTCAGCAACACAATTGGTCAATAAACCTGTACCAGAATTTGTTGTCGTTGTTGAATGTAGCCTATCATACATTACATATACTTAACATCTGGTGGGATAAAAGCAGGTAGTTTGAATGTGAATTTGGATTCGTTTATATATTAATCCTATTTTCCGTTTCCAAAATTTGGGTTTGTTCATTTTCGGAAAGTTTTTCTGACTCCAAAGTGTGTAATTGTGATAATTTCCTCATAGCTGCTTAAAAATAAGAATGTTGGAAGTCACTTTTGCAGAGAACCCACAAATGAACATGACCCAAGAGACCAACAAATGGATACCTAATTCATACTTGATCAGACAATGCTGTGAATTGGGCATTTCCATCTTTGCAAAAAAATTAATTTTTCTAAGAGATTTTGAATATAGGTGCAACACATTATGATGGGATTCCTGATGATCTAAAAGAAATTTTTCATCCTCACTGGGGAACTTTTCCTCCGCAGGTACTAATTTCCCCTGATATCTTCTCCTATGCATGGGTTTATATTTCATATGAAAATTAAACGCACTACTAAAGTAGTCTACAACATGTTTTTTTTCATTTCAAATTAATTTTGCAGAACAATTTAAAAATCAAGATAATCAATAAATCAAATAATACCACTATTTTAAGCATCCCATGGTGAACCATGTTGTTGGGTTTGCCTACATAATCCTGTGGTTAATCTCCTTCTTTGGAAATGGTTGTGTGGTCTACATTTTTCTAAAGGTAAAATAGGCACATACAAAAGTTTATATTACTTCGCGCCCTTTTTTCTAGGCTTTTAGGGCGCTTCGCGCCCATCTTCTATTTTAATTGTGAACATGTTCTTTTTGTTTACATTTCAAAACAAGGATGAAAAAAATTTTGCGGATTTAAAAAAAAAATTTCGAAGATTTTCAAAAATTTAATTTTTTTTACAAAATTAAAAACCTTTAAAACACAAATTTTTAAAATTTTGATCATTCATAAACAACAACAAGCCAAATTTATATTACTAGAAATTCAAGGCGCTTCGCGCCCTTCTTTCTAGGCTTTTAGGGCGCTTCGCGCCCATCTTCTATTTTAATTGTGAACATGTTCTTTTTTGTTTACATTTCTAAACTAAGAAGAAAAAAAATTTTGGGGATTTTAAAAAAAAAATTCGAAGATTTTCAAAAATTTAATTTTTTTTACAAAATTAAAAACCTTTAAAACACAAATTTTTAAAATTTCAATCATTCATAAACCTTCCCTGGGGTCCCTAGATGTCCCACAAAAAATTTGGGCCCGATCAGTTCAGCCGTTTTGACGTTTATTGGATACAAACAGACAAACACCCAAACAGACAAACAGACAAGCCAAATTTATATATAGATATATCATATATTGGTTTCTTACTAAACTAACACCATTTAGACCAAAAGCTTGAGAACTCCTACAAATATGTTCATTGTGAATCTGGCAGTGTCAGATCTTTGTATGATGACAACTCAGGCAGGCATCAACTTTAATCAATAATCAATAAATCATTAATTGACTTGATATCTGTGTTAAAATTTTAATTTTTGCTTTTTGCTTCTATTTGGATAAATTCACGTTGATTTGGTGTAAAAGGGACTTCCTGTTAGTTTTAATGCTTTTGTTCAACGCTACTGGATGTTTGGTGTTACAGGTAGACCTTCAAATTTTAAAATTGATTGTTGAGTAATATTTAGAATGTTTATTTACTAGGGTGTCAAGTGTATGCAATGCTGGGTGGAATCTTTGGAACCATTTCAATTCTTTCCATGGTCGTCATTGGATATGATAGATACAATGTTATTTGCAAGGGATTCAATGGCGTAAAAATTACTGCTGGAAAGGTAATATTTGGTAATTACATGAAAGTGTTTGACTATAAAGTAAAAAGAAACTCTGTAGGCTTTCGGATTGATTCTGTTCCTGTGGTTGTACAGTACTGCAGTGTGTGTTCCACCATTCTTTGGCTGGGGTGGGTATGCAACAGAAGGAACATTGATAACCTGTAGCTATGATTATCTTACCCAGGTATATTTTTCATATTTTTTAAAATTCTTGATAAGGTTATAATGTATTTCTGACACAGGACTGGAATCACAAAAGCTTCATGTTGTATGCCTTCATCTTTAACTACTGTACTCCAATGATAATGGTTATCTCATTTTATACTCAGGTATCATTCTTTTAATTGATAAACTTTAAATTTTTATTTTAATCTTTAGAGACTGATTTTTATCTTCTTCTTTTTTTCCAGATTGTAAAGGCAGTTGTTATGCATGAAGCAGCATTAAAAGCTCAAGCCAAAAAAATGAATGTAGAATCCTTAAGGTACTTAAAACTTAAAATAAATCTCAAGGATCAATACTTAATAAACCAACCCTAACAAACTTTAGTCAAAAATAGGAAACTCTCTAAGGGGTCTATATCTTTGAAAATCACTTCTCCCTCCTCTCTTAATTTGCCAGTAAACTTGGCAAAAATACGCAATACTGTCAATAATCACTGGCCATGTTTTTAATTAAACTTACAATCTCAAAATTCATTTTATTTTTAGATCTGGAGAACAAGAAGGAGATTCAGCAGAAGTAAAAATTGCAAAGGTGAATCTTATTTTGCAAAAGTTTAACTTTCAATTTCATTACTTTCAACCTCAGTGTTGGGCATAATTTTTATCAAGATATTAAACATTTATATATCAAATTGTCTTTTAAATAAGAGACATTTGGCAAATTTTAAAGTTATCAGGTATGTATTTTCAAGAGTCGCACNATATTTTGGATGCTATGGGGATTAATAAATTTTAAACATAAGACAATAATAGGAGAGTTTTTCATCGTTTTTGGTACTTCCTACCCAAAAATCCATTTATTGCCCTGGAAAGATAATCTATATCCCCCAATTCAGAGATTAAACCCTAAATAAAACTTTATGACATTCTCACACACAATTTTTCATCTGGAGAATAAAGTTAATTTTCTAAAGAGTGGGGGGGGGAGGAAACTATTTTTCAAAAAATACACACCCTTGAATAATTTGTTAATAACTTTGTGTCTTCTGTCAAAGTCAAACTAGTAAAAAGAAAAATATTTTAAGTCAAAGTTGATTTTGTATAGATCCCCAACACTTTTTTTTATCCAAGAAAGGCTAAATAATTCTTAATATTAGGTTGCTATTACAAATGTAATGCTATGGGTTTGTATCTGGTCTCCCTACGCCATAGTTGTTATGATTGGATGCTTTGGGAACATGCAACTTGTCACCCCAATGGTTGCTGCTTTACCATCCTTTTTAGGTGAGCAAAGTTAGAATTAAAATTGACCCAAAAGTCAAAAAGGGGCATTCCTTATTCACAACAGTACCCTGGAAACCTTTATCTGATCTATATAGTGAAAGATAATGTTGTTTTTCTAGCTTGAGACCACAACGGAAATAATAAGGTTTTTAAAAATTTAAATATAAAAATGCAATCTTAAGTTGATAATTAAATAATTTTTGAAACAGTGAGGCCCATAAAACTGTGGAATAGTAAGACGGCATATCAGCAATCTTATGAGTGTTTGATGGTGTTACAAAGAAAATAGCTTTTACTAATTACTTGGAATTAAGGTTTGAAGTTAAAGGGTCTGTTTCAATTGTGAAATTCCTGTATTTCATCTTCTAAGGACTATTTAAATTCTTAACTTGAGTCTAAAGTCGTCTTATCTTTCCACAGTTTGTTGGGGCTCACTGTACATTATTACTATTTTAGCCAAGACAGCCTCATGTCTAAATCCTTTGGTTTATGCAATCTCTCATCCGAAATACAGAGAAGCTATGGGTAAAGAGCTGCCTTGCTTGGGAATTGGAGCTGCAGGTTTTAAATCATCTTACATAATACTTAATATTTATCGCTGAATCATGGTAGCACCAGCCAGATGAGAGTTTATGCGTTCTCACCAGTGCTAGGCACAGCAACGCCAGACCCCCTCAGAACCGAATTGGGGAGGTCTTGTGTTACTTTGCCTCATGCATAGAACTGGTGAGAATGCACCCCCTCTTATCTGATGATTAAGGAGATATTATAAACAGTGGTATATATTAAATCCATTCATAATCCATATGTGCACACATTTTTATTGCGATTTAATTTATTCAAATAGATTTTACTTTTATCAAGTATTTTTTTAAGTTAATCAATAATCATTATGTATAAATTTTATGAAACTAAGCCAAAAATCTTTGCAAAAATTACATTTTGAAATATTTTTTTTTGCTTTTTAGGAGCTCAGAAGTCTGATGCTGCGTCTACAGTTGCCGTCAAAGCTTGAAAAAATATCTATAAAGCCTGAAAACTACAAATAAAACAGAAAAAAATTATGAACTTTTTTTTTTATTGAAGGCTTAACAAACCATATCATCTGTTCCCATTCTTGAGATTTTAATGAAAAATAGGAAAAGGATAGAGATATAATTAGGTGATTTATATAACAAGCTGAAAAAGCAAAACTTTGGCGTTTTCTATATATTTGGCTTTTCTGTTGGTTTGTCTCTTTACATATCCAATAAAAGTCTAGGCAGCTGAACTGATCAGACCCAATTTTAACTCACAACCAAAGGGAAGTTTAAGGTCCCATGCCAATTGCATGAATTTTGCTTCAGCTAAGTCTGAGTTTGAAAAAAAAGATATCAGCTATTAAGTGAAAAAAAAATCTGCATAATTTGCAGAAAAATAGGCGCTAAAAAACCAGTTGTGCCTAGGACGGCATGCTCAGACTTAAAAGACTGCTCTCTGCACTTTACACATTTGAGGGGGGGAAGGCCAAGCGGCCATGAACCCCATACTCAATTAGTTAACTTCCTATCTTACGGATATAGTATCTACCGCCGGGGTACAAAGTCAAGAAACAGGAATCTACAAAAATAAAAAATAAAAAGAAAAAAGTTAATCTAACAAAGAGCCAATCTATCTAATGCTAATCCGGCTTTACACCCACTCTGCTTAGCCATGGGAGCCCTTTCTGGAAGGAGGGAGGGGTGACTGTTCTCAGGGTTTTGGAGTGCTCCCAGGGTTGTGGAGTAAAATGTGAAAATTTATCCGACCTTTTTATCAAAAGTCTTTTTAAAAGGATAATTTAAAACCGAAAATTGAAAAAACGGCTCTGCAGGTACCCCTTTTTTACTGTCTTTGTTAAGAAATTTGCAAGGGAAAATTCGCAAATTTCAGTCCAAGTAGCCTGTGGCGATCATATAGTTTTAATTAGCCAAACTGATGACATTTATTATAGCTTATGCATTAAAGGTTATTAGTAAATGTAGAAAAAAAAATCTTTTTTGAGCTAGACACATCAAGGTTTTGAGCTAGACACATCAAGGTTTTGAGCTAGACACATCAAGATTTCACAAAATAAAAATTGTTTTATGTCAAATTTAGAGCCTTCTATACGCCCTACACTATACCAAAAATCATCAAATTATTGAGATATCTGAGGAAAACTAAGAAAAAAAAACTATTTTTATATTGTGTCTGTTGAGTAAAAGCGCCTGGAAAACCATTAGGATTGAGATAAGAGCTCCTCAGGGCAGGGTCAACTCTGAATTGATGAAGTGCTGAAGACTCGATGAACCCCCATTTTAATTTACTCTGAAGTGAAATAATATTGAATAGTAATGATAATAAAATTCAGGACGCACGACAGATTTGGTCTTTATAAGTTTTACAGATTTAAAGGGCTTGTTTCTGACTATTTAGATTGAGCTCATCCTATCTAAATAGCTGTACTAAGAGAATATAAACTTTAGTATGGTTTACCCATACTAACCCAGGCTGGCAGAGTAGAAACGAGATAAGGCTCCATTTTGGCGCAGCGGAATAATGTATCCGCCATTTTGGTATACATCCCTGTTCGATTTTAACTGGTTCTATGAGATGATTATCTAAACATTAGAGTTTTCTGTCTCTACGCCAATGGTTATTTAATCATTAGTATTTCATATATTCATTTTGTAAATATAGGTTGTGAACTTCTTTTCGTGTTATTATTTCATATATTCATTTTGTAAATATAGTTTGTGAACTTCTTTTCTTGTTATTATTTCATATATTCATTTTGTAAATATAGTTTGTGAACTTCTTTTCTTGTTATTATTTCATATATTCATTTTGTAAATATAGTTTTTGAACTTCTTTTCTTGTTATTATTTCATGCAGGTAGTATAGTTCTTATCTTGTAGTTCAGTATTCTATAAACTCCCCGGGTGTAAAGTAAATCTTGAAATATTCTTCACGTCACTTTTAAACTTAAGGGAAACCCTTTTAAACTATTTTACTCTAATGTACAGTTAAAGTTTTCTTCTTTTTATTCCTTACATAAAGTGATTTAAAGGTTGCAAGCTCTTACGCCAAATCTAAGAGAATTTTGAGCAAAACTGAACACTCTTTCAACATTTTCAATTCGATTCGGGAAATCAAAGGCCAGTTTGTGGCGACATTTAAAAATTGACCAAGTCTTTAAAAAGTGATGCCACTAATTAAAGTAGTCTGGATCTGTTGGGGTCTTACTATTTTTGTTGCAGTATTTTCCAAAAATCGATGACAAAGAGCTTTTATAATAAATATATTCATAAATAGAATATCTGGCCCAAGAAACAATAAAAACAATAACATGTCACGCCAGTGAACATTCACAATTCGACCATTTCCATTACCATTGCTTATTACCTATACATGTAAAAAAGTATAATCTCGGTTTGTTTGTTTGTATGTCCGATCATAACTCAGGAATCTCTTGACTTTGACCTTTGCTTCAAATTTTGTCTTTAGAACTCGGTAGAGCCACGGAAACATGCTTTGATTGGTTTAAAAGTTGTAGAGATTTAACTCTTGAAAAGAAACCTTTTTCCAAACAAAGCTGGGTTCCCAAGCTTGAAATTATACAGAGTGAGTCAAAAAAAGTGATTTGCGGCGCATGGTGCAAAATTGTATCTTTTTTGTGCAACTCTTCTGTATGGTGTTTTTACGATATTTTTTGAAAATTTGTAATTTTTTTTGGTAAGAAAATCCGCAAACCTTTTTTCTCTCAAAATCAAAAGTTCAGAAAAGCAAAAATATGTATATTAATTATTTCTATATTCGTATAATACAATAAATATCGAAATAAAAGTTCAAATATTTATTAGTTTTGTTGAAGCTTAACCATATCTCGGGAACCCTTTCACCGTTTCGGCTCAAATTTTGATTGGGAATTCTAATATTAGTGCAGCATGAGTCGACTTTTATGAGGAAAAGTTTTTTTTATGCAAAGCTGGTTTCCCAAGCTGGTGTATTCATAATTTATGTATAGCATAAACTTACTTTTCCCTTACTGTACAAGTTAACTGTAGTTACTGTACATGTATTGCATTTGTGCAGGCACTGTATTGTATTATGCAGGCACTGTATATTTACAAGTAGTGTTTAGGCACTGAACATGCATTATGGAGGCACTGTACATGTATTGTGCAGGCACTGTATTGTATAGAGCAGGCACTGTGCATGTACAAGTATTGTGTAGGCACTGTACATGCAATATGGAGGCACTGTACATGTATTGTGCAGGCAATGTATTTTATTGTACAGGCAGTGTTCATGTACAATTGTATTGTGCAGGCACTGTACATGCAGTATGGAGGCACTGTATTGTATTGTACAGGCACTGTACATATACGAGTAAATTGTGGAGGCACTGTACATGTTTTATGAAGGCACCGTACATGCATTTTGCAAGCACTGTACATGTACAAGTGTTGTACACGTATTGTACAAGTTGTTTGAAGATACCGTACATGTATTGTGAAGGCAGTGTATTGTGTTGTGTAGATATTGTACACTAAGGACTAATTTGTTCGGTGTCTGTAGAATTACGGTAATAAACTTCTATAAAAGCACTGAAACTATTTGTAAAAGACATATTTGTAATGAAATTTATTCTTTGTAAATTGGTTTATATATCAAAACAATCATTTAGATTAAAGTTGTTTCATATGTCTTAATCATTTTGATCAGCTGCAGCAAGAATGTAATGCAAGGAAAGTTAATTGCGGTCGTGTATACTCTGCGTACATATTGAAAGCAGTTCTCTTTGGGCGGAATTTGTAAACAAGAATAGATGCATCAGTGTTCGCTTAGTATCCGATGAGGTTAAAAGCATTACATTTTGATAATTTTGATAATTCACGTAATAGTTTTCTATGACCAGAATATTTCATTGATTTTTTTATGTGAAAGATGGATCCCATGTCAGGCTGTAACATCCGTCTTGTGTTTACATTACCGCCCAGAGACAGTACACTGCAGTACAAAAGATGCGTACACTTTTGAAATAACTTTCTTTGCATCTTTGAGCTGCAGTAATTATAACATTTAGGATTTGGAAAATGGAAAGATAATTATTTTTATAAAATTTGAGAAAAAATATATTATTTTATGAATTAGAAATACATCAACAACATATCTCCCTATAAAAGCATTTCGTTGGAGCCGAATATTATTGGACAATTAGGAGGAGGGAAGTTTGAAGTTCGGCCGCAGGGAGAAGAATTTTTCAAAATTTGACCACCAGGTGGAGGATAGTTCAAGGTTTGACCACTAGGTGGAGGATGATTCAAGGTTTGACCACTAGGTGGAGGATAGGTCAAGGTTTGACCACTAGGTGAAGGATAGTTCAAGGTTCGCTCACTAGGTGGAGGATAGTTCAAGGTTTGATCACCAGGTGGAGGATAGTTCAAGGTTCCACCACTAGGTGGAGGATAGTTCAAGGTTTGACCACTAGGTGGAGGATAGTTCAAGGTTTGACCACTAGGTGGGGGATAGTTCAAGGTTTGACCACCAGGTGGAGGATAGTTCAAGGTTCCACCACTAGGTGGAGGATGATTCAAGGTTTGACCTCCAGAAGGAGGACTTTTTGAGGTAGAGTTTCCAACTTTCCTTTCAAGAGAGTGTAAAGCAGAACTTGCTGAGCTTCCATTTACATCCGACCTAGACATTTTGAATTTTTTAAATAATAAACTATAGATTAAAACACTGTTCAAAAACTTTGGTTTGAACTGAACTGAAAGAATTAATAATAATAAAATAATAAACTGACAATTTAGTTAATTGTCGTGTCCAACCAAACCAATCATATCCCGCACAGTGGTGCCACTAGTCTATTCCAATTATTAAATGATTAGAGCTTAAAACTTTAGAATAATGCTTAAAATTGTGGTTTTACTAAATCCAAGATTATTTTAAAACGCATTCGATATCCAAGAAAGAAGTTAAAAATTTAACCAATCAGCGGTGTCACATCAATTGAACTAAACATCGATTGAACGAACGTATAAGTTTTGGATTAATGTTAATTAAGACTAACATTCAAAATAACAATAGTCTTAAAATATGTTTTTTAATAATTTCATATTCACATGATTAAATCTATATTTGTTTAAATGCTCAAAAGCCGGCTTGTGAACAGCTAACTTTAATTCAATTGGATATTAGTCCAATTGATATAGCATCAGGTATCTATAATTGTTATCGAACGTAACTTTTATACAGTAGAAATATCTAAAAAGAGGATTATAAGAAGAAAATCAAAAATGTGTACATTGGATACTCAGATTAAGCGATCGTGATGAAGGATATCTCATTTAATAGTTTTCAGCTCTGAACAAGTTCACGGATATACTGAGATAGTGTAATCCCACCTAATCTAACCCGCCCATCATAACCTACCATAACTTGAATATCTATTTGTGCTATTCTAATTCTAAACCATAACTTTGCTATAGTTCTAGGTAAATGTGTAAAGTTTCTAATGGAGTTTGGTTGTATTTGATTGCCTTGATTCATACATAATTTAGCAATTACTTTATTAGTGATCTACACTCCGGGAAACACATTATGACATTTTGAAGAAAGCTTAATGAAGTATTAGATGTGGATTATTACCCAGGAAACCGACTAGAGTTACGATGGCGAATAATGTCAAAAAAAATAAATGTTTGTTTGTTTTAATAACCTGCTTATTGAACTTTAAAGATAAAAATGCTTTTAAAATTTCTTAAAAAGTTAAATTTGTAACAACACAAAATCAATTTTATTGATCCAACTATTTTAAAGTTATACCTATAACTGACTAGATAGCGTTCAGCGCTTGATACACGGACACCATCCAGTTTTAATCTTCCTGTATCCGTTACTCCGTTTCTCTAACATACAATCACATTATTGTCATTATATAGAATATTAGAACTGTAGAAGAGGATTATCACTGGAACCTCAGCTCCGGTTCAAATGAAGTGATTGCAATGAATAATAATTGTCTGAAAATATTTTTTAAAAAGTAAATATTTGCAAATTATCTTTTTTCCATCTCATGATCTGAGTTCGTGTCACTTTTGCCCAATTTTTTTAAATGATCTTCTTTGTTTGTTTATTTTCCTGTGGTTTTTAACAACTTTTTTATCGATATTGATGGTTATTATATCGTTAGACCGAAATGTGAAACTAACATCTACTTTTTTTTACTCTACGGAGGTTTGGTCCATCACCATCACCGAATTTTAAAAGTGATATTGCAATATTCGTACAATACAATAAAGGATGCTTTGATGATATTTCAAAATTTTACAAAAAAAACTTTTCTCGGACATCTTTAAATGATTTGGCAAACTGAAACTATTATATTAAAAGCAAAAACTAACTTGTAAAAAACTAAATACAATTGCTATTTTAGGTTTGCCCACAGTCATAGAAATTATCTACTTTAAATTTAATGTACAGTGTTAACCAGAAAACTCTGGAAAAGGAAGACGACTTCTTGACTCAGGTTATGAGTTTAAATAGTCAAATAAGCATTGGATACAGAAAATGTTCAGCATAAACAGACCCATTTCACATAATAATTTAATTTATTAGGTGTCTAGTATAACTATTTGCCTTGAACAACATCAAATACACTCAATTATTGCTATAAAGTCGTCTTCTTATTTCGGAGTTTTCTGATTATCACTGTGTATGCAGAGGAAACATTTAAACCAACTTATTGTTCCGCTGGCGAAGATGTTGGGTAAAAAATCTTAACTTTTGATGTCTGACATGAGGGAGGGAACCCCCGGACGCCATCAGCCTCTGCTATGCAGACACGAGCCTCCCAGATTTGCTAGGCAGACCTAGCCTCCAATATGCAGACCAAGCATCCGCTATGCAGTGAACGAGCCTCCACCATACAGAACAGCCTTTTATAAATCTTGGTTTTTATGTGTAATGAAAAATGTTAACAATTTTTTTCATTACACATAGTATGCATGAGAGGTTTCTCAAAGATGAAAAGTATTTATCAATTATCATAAATAGTTCCTAATTATGACTAATTTAAAGTGGTATATAAAACTTTAACCATTTTTAAAAAAAAAGAAAAATATTTAGAGAAAAAATTTGAATTGAACTTCATTTTATTTTTCATAATCTTTGATTTAAGCAATACCTTTTTTTGTAGTTCAACTTAAATCAAGAAAATTTTCATCATTAAATCTTAACATTTTTCAAAAAAAGGTATTGTTTAAATCAAAGATTACAACAAAACAGACTAAATTTATTGCAGAAATATTTCTCCAAATATCTTCCTTTCTGCGTAAGAAATGAATAAAGTTTTACTGTACATCTTATAAACCACTTTGTGAGTCCATGTATGTTTTTAATCATGACAATCAATAAATAAATCTAATCTTTAGTAAAATTTTTATGCCACATATGTCAAAAAAAGATTGTTAACATTTTTCATTACACATAAAAACCAAGATTTAAAAAAGCTGTTCTGTATGGTGGAGGCTTGTTCACTGCATAGCGGAGGCACAGTCTGCATAGCAGAGGCTAGGTCTGCATAGTGGAGGCTCGGTCTGCCAAGCAAATCTGGGAGGNCTCCTTCCTGGCATGTCGGAGACTTTAATATTTGCAGTGTGGTTTGGTAAAGACAGAAAAATAGGTAATTCTAAAGAGAACCATAAACGTAAGAAAAAGTATACTGAACACAAATTGAACATTTGTTTCAGAAGGTTTATCCTTTCTGGGTAACCCTGTAATGTTTGTTAGTTCTGGCTTACCTTTGTATAAAAGGCAGAAAGCACAGTAGAAGTTTCAGCTTTTGATGTACACAATGAACTTTGTGTACCTACTGTACATATTTTTGATACGGTATTGTTTAAATAACACACTTCATTTTCATCAGTATCAGTCACATTTGACGTACTGAGGGGGGCACTAATAATAATCCTTGCCCCATCTGTGTTATTTTTCACTGCACCGTTTGTACCAGCTATACTTGAGGTATTTTTACTTGTTGTTTCTTTGTTGACATCTTCCTTATTCCCCGTGATGACGACTGTACTAGACAAACGGTCTGAACTTGCGGCATTGCACTTGATATCAGGGTTGGCTGGGCTGATGCTATTTGAGGAGCTGTGAGTCACAATTGCACTAATTTTGGTTTGAATTTTACTTTGCGTGCTTCCTGCAGAACGTAACTTATGAAGAGCTAGAAAAAATATATATTTAGTTCATATCCTGCATTGTAAGGGAATTTGAAAGAAAAATAAATGAAATGTTTTCAAAATCCAGGAATCTAGATTATTATATGAGATGAAATGAATCTTCTGAAATTAAATTTCTAAGAAATTTCTGACTTAAGCTTAGTAATATGATGAATATATTATTTTATTACTAGCATGAAATTGAGGGATTTATTCTTTGAAGGAATGTCAGGCAAAATGAAGTGACCCTTTGATTTAAAAAGGTGCCACATAACTAGTTTAAAACTTTGAAAGAAAAAAGTGTCAAGAGAATTTTCCCAAGATGCGTTTCCTGAAGATGTGAGAAGAGTTGACACGGCAAGTTTCTTTTCTGGATATTCTTCAATTAAGAAGGATGGAAGATTTTTTCTTTCTTCACTTTTTGTTTCATGAAGGACATGCGTTCTATCAGAGCAGAAATCTCGCTTCCCTTCATTCAAAGGTCAATAGATATAAAAAAAAACAATTCTCAAATATTTTTTTTCCTGGCTCAAAGAACTATTTTCAAATTTCTCTAGTTTTGTTTGGATACTCGGATAGATTTAAATTAACATTCAAAACTTTTCCAAAACCCAATTAAAAAAAAAAAAAATTTAGTCTTTGCTTTGGAAAATCGCATTTTTTTATTAATGATTTGGACTGATGTTGAAGATTTGTATTTCTTGTCTCCAGGGACCCCCATCCATGACTTTTTTTTGGAGATATCTTCAGCAGTATTTTTGAGGCTATTCTAATTTTTTACTTTTCTAACTAACACATGCCCCTCAACTACCTACTGCCTGAAAGCCTTTTTATACCTTGACCCGACTAAATCTATGTTTAGACCTACTTCCGGTCATTGGATTTAAACTTTTTATAGCTCTTTGGAAAGCCTTGAACAAAAAAAAGCAGATTGCACAATTTATGCAAGAAATTTTGCATAGATTTGTGCCTTTAAAGATGACTTTAAAGATAATTGATATTGTTTTGCAGATAATTAAAGTAGAGTCCAAGGGCTTTTCAAAAGTGTATCAAATGATAAAGATTTGTATCACAATAAGGAAATAAAGGGGGGGCCTTGACCCCCCCCCCTAGACGTCAACCTGAATAGGGCTTAACAGTCATCTTCATGTGATCGCAATTTGGATCTTTTTATGAATTATATTGACCCATGCCTTGCTCAACCAGAAGGGTTCTTCTAGTTGATTCTGAAGATGCAGCAGGATAGGAAGCAGACGATAAATCCTAGAAATTAACCATTCCTTTTGTAACATTTTTTTAGTTTTTTCATGATAATCTTTAAATTTTTAAGGTTTAAATAAACAGCTTTAGTTAGGCCTGGGGAACTTTCCATCATACGGTGAGGGCTGTTAATTTATATGCCTAACCCAACCTGACCCAAAATGCTAAGAACCTTATAATATTTTTCTCAAGAGTTGAATTATAATATGTATTTCAAGATATGTTTTATTTTAAATTTTTCAACCTTCATTTGTAGATTTAAAAGTATTATCCGAATATATCGATGCTGTACTGTACTGTACTGTACTGTACTGTACTGTACTGTACTGTACTGTACTGTACTGTACTGTACTGTACTGTACTGTACTGTACTGTACTGTAGATTTAAAAGTATTAGCCAAATATATCGATGATAAACTTTAAAAGTAAATGACATGTAATTTAATTCAATACATTGTGGTTACAGAAAGAGCTGAGTTTTAAATGATATTCAGTAAACATAAATCAGAGAGTAGATGTTCAAGAACCTTCAAAAACCTTTTATTTATAGAAACCATTGTTGCAATTTCTGTGACTTTTACAATAATGATTTATTTTATTATTTTCTGAATACTCAGTGAAAATACATTTTAAAGCTTAGTTCAACCTTCAAAGAAAAATCAATTCTTACGCTCTCTGGAAAAAAAGATTATTTTTAAACCAATTTTGTAGGGCTAAAAATAGAAAAGATACAAAACAACACGAAATCATAGTTTTATATTTACTTTTCAAAAATTTGAAAGTTAAGATTGGTCTTCAGAAAATCTATGAATAATACTGCTATTAGTTTAATTTCCTAGCTTTCTCTGCATTTGTTTATCTTTTTAAAAAACTGGTTTTCTAGGAAACAGATGAACCAGGACAAATATTGCAAGTTTTTTTACCTTAAGGGTTTTCCTTTTTGGCACGGTCTTGGAACACTTCTGCACAGATATTGGAAGGCAGCATGAGAGTACCCTTGCAAATGCTCTTAAGAAAACAGAATTTTAAAAAACTGCTTGTTCTATATGCAAAAGCTGAATAAACAAAAAACTTCTAGAAAACTAAAATGGAAACCAACAAACGGAGTAAAATTACTCAATGCAGAGCAATGATATTGCAAAATAAGTTGTTGTAAATGCATTAACTACTCCTCGCTAATAACATTGGAGGTTTGCGCCTGTGCTTATTATGCATCAAGAGATCAAAAAGGTTATCAAGGACATTATGATAAAGCAATTATATTTTGAAGATATTATTTATAACGGTAACAGATATATATTTCTCACGCTGCCCCTGCCAGTAAAAGTAAATTCAACCTCTATGAAGCATAAAGTCTGACCGCGTCAACCTTTTTGCACCGGCTAGTCCTGTCCATAGAGCTAGTTACAGTACAAACTGGGAGCGGAAAGGTTGACCCGGCTCGGAAATTCAAATGTACTACGGCTGCCCGTGTTGTTCTTATGTTAACATTACACAGGGTTTATAATGTGTACCTTAATTTCTAAGGATAATATTAAAATAATGCGAATTCCTGTCACTAGGGCAATAAGTAATTTTAGTGTCGCCATATTAGTGAGCGCCATGGGTTTCAAACCCAAACTAAGTTTGTAAGCGCCCCCGGGTCAGAATTTTGACCTTCTAGGATTTTGAATAATTGATTTGACAAAGAAAGACTGAATAGATTCTGTACAGTCGTCTCTAAACTATCATCATTTGTTGATAACCCTGTATTAAAATAAAATAACAAACTTGTGAAACTGCTCTAATTTCGTTGCAAATTTATGTATAAAATTAGTCACCACCAATGTAAATAATAAAGTTGTGTCCTGAATAAATAAAGTTGTGTCCTGGCATCTATGGTACTTAATAATTTATGATTTATAGGAGAGATTTGTAAATAAAAAATGGCCCATGCACGGGAAAAACATATTCATTCTGACCCTTGTTTCTGACCCTTTCCTTGTTTTGGAGGATAATTTGGTAAATTTGTCTAATTAAGTTCACCTTCTAAACTCTAAACTGCAGGACGCATAAATGAATGGATTCATACAGCTGTTGATCCAACCCAACCATGTGACAACTCCAAGAACTACTTCAGGATTCTAGATATCAATTCAAGCATAATAAAAGGTTTATATTTTATGTTAAGAAATAATAAAATTTATTGGAGAAATAATACAAATTATTGTTATTTTCAGAAAAAAAAACTAGAAGCTATATTTGATAATGGACCAAACATTTCCGTAAAAATTCAAGAACAATTAAAAATGGCGAAATTTTTATATCTTTTAGTTTTCATTTGATTTTATCTCTTTTAGTTACCATTGGATTTTATCTCTTATAGCTATTATTGGATTTTATTTCTTTTAGTTATCATTGGATTTTATCTCCTTTAGTTATCATTGGATTTTATCTCTTTTAGTTACCATTGGATTTTATCTCTTTTAGTTACCATTGGATTTTATCTCTTTTAGTTACCATTGGATTTTATCTCTTTCAGTTAGCATTGGATTTTATCTCTGTTGGTTATCATTTGATTTTTTAAAAAAGTTTCAGTATTTAATTACGTTAACATTTTCATGAATCTCTAGGACTATTTTTTTGCAATTTGATGCGATGCCGGTAATATGTTTATTTGATCTTCATTTAGTAAAATGATTAAGAAATGATTGTACCTGTATACAAGATGAGCATATGCCTGCAATAATGTTGAGAATAAAGAATGGTAGCCAGCAGATGATAAAAACTCCCATAACAGTTCCGAGAGTTTTGGCAGCTTTAGCTTCCTTGGTGAACATGGACTTCTTCTTTCGCCGCCTAAAAAATAAAAAAATGAAAAGTTAAAAATTTGAAAAAGTTGTGAGGACGTCTCATTGGTGCTTTCCTAGCAAATATACTGGAAAATGTGGAAAATGAAGACGACGTTGAGCAATTTTTTAATGTGTTTTTCTAAAGCAGATAAAGCTTGAAAAACAATTTGTTGAAAGAATTGGGTCTGGTTCAATGTACCATGGCTGTGTTTTATGTTCGTTGGACTTTCAAAATCACTATCGTAAAAGATTCATTTTTACATTTTATTGTAAAAAATCAAAACCAAAAAACTGCGGAAAAGGGAGACGACATTTAAGCAATACTTAAGTGCATTTGATGCTGTAACAAGGCAAAAAGTTTCACCACAAGTAATTTATTGAATCTTTAATTAAATGAAAAGGTTCTCTTTATACTGCACAATTGCTGTGTCTCATATTCATTGGACTAAAGTCGTCTTCTTGCTGTACCTCGTTCTGGGGGATACAGCGCTGTTATTGACACTATTCTGAGGACCAACTCCATTCTTAGCTCCAGCTCCTCCTCCTCCTCCTCGGTGTATCCTAATATGTATAAATATAAACATATCCATAGACACAGTGTTTCGTCTTATGAGGACTCATCAGTATGGCTCAATTCATCAGTTTTTGATTTTGCAGTTGGCGGGGCTTGAACCGTGAATCCTTGGATTACGTAATACGTATAAAACACGCTAACAACTGCTCCATCAAACCCTGATGATTGGGTAATGAAATAGGTACCAGAGAGCTCAACTCGCTCAACCAACTCTTTACAAGTTGAGGGCCTTACAAAATGCTAATTAGAGTGCTCAAGTTTTTAATTGACAAGGGGGGAGTAAAAGTTTAAATATTTTTTCTAAAAAACACAAAATTTTCAATTTTTAAAAGCAATATTTCCAAAACAACATGTCTCACCTTAAAGTTATTTCTCCCGCCCCACCGGAGGAAAGTTGTTTTGTTCCTAAAATATTAAAAAAAACATTTTCAATTAAGTTTTTTTATTTGATTAATTATAAATCGAAAAGGGAAGAAGAAGAATAACCTGAGTTAAGACTTTTATTGTATTCTCTCGCCGCCTAGAAATAAAGAAAAATTACATTAAAGGGAATTTAGGCAAAGATAACAGAATATGTGTTAGAGTGGAATTTACTAGAAAAAAGTGTAAAACGGCCTTTTTGTTGTACTGTTTCCATACTGCAGGTGTACTTCACATATTTGTGCTAAATAACCTTTTGGGCTCTTATCATCAATTTATAGAAAATCTAAAATTGATATTAAAAGAAAACCAAATTATGAAATGGGTTGGTTTCATAATTGACCAATGATCATTTCGCATAGACTCTTTGCCTTTCACTTTACAAACGATGATTTTCCGTTATAACTTTAAATCAAATGATGTTTTTTATCCACCTAATTCATTTTATAAAGTTTATTTAAGAGCTTTTAAAAAATCGAAATTGAAATGGATAGTCTGGGGAAAATACTGTATTAATGTACTCTACTGCATATAATTTGTGAACATTTACATGATTTGTACACTTTAAACTCCCTTTCAGGCTGAAAGGGACTGACAAATTTCATACCGAGGGATTAACTAAATTCCACTCTAATATATATCCCATTTTCTTTGACTGCAGGCGTTTTTCTAAGTAATCCTCCATTTATAAAAAATTACATGCCCGATTTACATCGGTATCCTCAGAACCTTTATCTGAGTAACAATGATGAGGATATCGACGATTTGCTATCTTTAAAAGCATAAATCTGAGCATCCATTCTAAAGAGAATCTACAATGTAAAAAATCAATTTTACCTTTAAAACATGGATATCTATTTCTTGCAAGATCAGACCAAGGTTAAAATAAAGCTGATGTGAACTGAACGTGCCATTTTTTAAACGGAGGTAAACTTGAAATTACGTTTACAGTCCCTTTAAGTTTTATATTATTATAAAAGATTCTACAAGAATTTTAATTATATTTTTGGTTAAATGGTATCAAATTTAAAGTTGAAATTAAATTTCTAAAATTTGGATGAATTTTCATCTCGTTATAAAAGGAAAGTATCATCTGTTATATCATTCAGGGATTTCAGGGTGTCCAAAAACATGGGAATGAAGTGACGACGTGCGCGGTATTATCTTGTGAACACAATTCAAATTAAATATTTAACACCTAAAACTGATAGTCTAACATTTTTACTTTGGAGTCTACCATTCTTACACCTTCAAAATTGACGGAGAAATTGATAAATTTGTCCAGATTCCAGATTCTAATTCATAAAATAACAAAATAAAAGTCGATTTTGAAGGTACAAAGTAGGATGACAACATAAATTTGATTTTTTTACGATCCGAGTTGAATATTTCAACTTTCTAAATTTGTATGGACGCTACGTTCTTCGGTATTAGTAGTTTTTAACTATTTTCTCCTTATAGACGCAATAGCTATACAAGTAAGATAAGTAGCAATCAACATTTTTCAACTATTTTCTATTATCAACTATTGGGAATAAAAAACTATTTTCAACTAGCATCTTAATTCTCATGTTTATTGTTTATGTAAACTATGTAGAAAAAAATATATAGTGGATTTAATATATTTACCTGAAATATTCTAATATATGTAAACACCATTACTGTCAACGGACCGTAGAATGAAACCGTGCTAAAGAATTATAACAAATAAACTTTTGCACTTAAACATTTTTTAATTTGTGGATAATTTTTTTTTATATCTGCATATATCTTTTCAATCTCAAATATATTTCTGTCCCGTGGATTAAAAAAATGTTGAAAATGAAGGAGAACCGCCGATTTTCCATTTCAACATGGTCTTTGAAAAAGATACAGTGTGACCCATAAAACATGAGACTTAAATGACAATCTAAATATCTTTAAATCCTCTGATTTTTTCTGTGACAAATGTAATGAAAAAGTCTGCTTAAATTCAACACAGCTGCAGTCGTTTATTCTTTTTGGGTAGCCTTGTATCTGATTTTAAAAGAGTAGATCATCTCGGTAATTAGATCAAGCATGTTGTTGTACCTTGTGGGCTGTTTTTAATTTAAAAAAACTGTCCCTTTAATATATTTTTTGTTTGTTAATTTCCTTGAAAAAACTAGATAACCAACATCCTCGGTAAACGGACATTTCCAATCAGCTACCTCTCCTACACATTTTCAGGATTAAGGAATAGAATCAGATTAAGGAAGAAATTAGACATAGAATCAGATTAAGGAAGATTAGAAATAGAATCAGATTAAGGAAGAAATTAGACATAGAATCAGATTAAGGAAGAAATTAGACATAGAATCAGATTAAGAAAGATAAGAAATAGATAATTGGATTAAGGATAAAGATAAAGATTTTAGATGGATTAAAAATAGAATCGTTTGGAATCGAAATAAGATTAAATAAAATTGGAATCGGATTAGGTTATAGGATTAGAATCATAATAGGATTATTAGGTTATAGGATTAGAATAATAATAGGATTATGATTAGGTTATAGGATTAGAATATTAATAGGATTATTAGTTTATAGAATAAGAATAATAATAGGATTATTAGGTTATAGGATTAGAATAATAATAGGATTATGAATAGTCTATAGGATTAGAATAATAATAGGATTATGATTAGGTTAAAGGATTAGAATACTAATATGATTATTAGGTTATAGGATTAAAATAATGAAAGAGTTATTAGGGTATAGGATTAGAATAATAATAGGATTATCAGGTTATAGGATTAGAATAATAATAGGATTATGATAAGGTTTTAGGATTAGAATAATAATAGGATTATTAGGTTATAGGAATAAAGGATTATAATAATAATAGGATCATGATTAGGTTATAGGATTAGAATAATATTAGGATTATTAGGTTATTGGATTAGAATAAATATAGGGTTATGATTAGGTTATAGAATTAGAATAATGATTAGGTTATAGGATTAGAAATATAAAGGATTAGGTTCACTCAAAAAAAGTATATGATGAATTAGAAAGAGAATCGGATTAAAATTGATTAGTAGTTTAACTGTAAAGAAATATTTTCGGATTAAGATGGATTAGATGTAGAATCGAATTTAGAAAGATTAAAAATAGTATTGGATTAAATTAGACAAGAAATAGAATAGGATTAAGATGGATTAGATAAAGAATCAGATTAAGATAGATTAGAAATAGAATCGGATTAAGATGGATCAGAAATAGAATCGGATTAAGATGGATTAGAAATATAATCGGATTAAGATGGATTAGAAATAGAATTGGATTAAGATGGATCAGAAATAGAATTGGATCAGAAATAGAATCGGATTAAGATGGATTAGAAATAGAATCGGATTAAGATGGATTAAAAACAGAATCGGATTAAGATGGATTAGAAATAGAATTGGATTAAGATGGATTAGAAATAGAATTGGATTAAGATGGATTAGAAATAGAATAGGATTAAGATGGATTAGAAATAGATCCGATTAAGATGGATCAGAAATAGAATTGGATTAAGATGGATTAGAAATAGAATTGGATTAAGATGGATTAGAAATAGAATCTAATTAAGATGGATTAGAAATAGAATCGGATTAAGATGGATTAGGAATAGAATCGGATTAAGATGGATTAGAAATAGAATCAGATTAAGATGGATTAAAAATAGAATCGTATTAAGATGGATTAGAAATAGAATCAGATTAAGATGGATTAAAAACAGAATCGGATGAAGATGGATTAGAAATAGAATATGATTAAGATGGATTAGAAATAGAATATGATTAAGATGGATAAGAAATTAAACTTAATTAGAAAAACAATCGGATTGAATAGATAGGAAATATAATCAGATTAAGAAAGATTAGGAATAGAAGTGGATAAAGTTAGATTAGAATAGAATTTTATTATGAAAAGAAACGGATTAAGATGGATTATACATGCAATCGGATTAATCTGTACCAACCTGATGAAGTAGACCTCCACCATATAATTGCTGGAAACGAGATAAAACTTGAACAAATCCAAACTCCAAGGATCAGAAGAACAGAACGCCTAATCAATAAATATTTAAAGAGACTGTAAGCGCAATTTTATGTGGTCCTCCATGCAAAGCTGGGAAAGTTCGAATCAAGTTTTTTTTTTTTAACTGATTATTTCAACTGTCGTTTCGTCGCAAACAGCAGTGATTTGCGCATTTACACTGCAGGAATCCAGTTAGGAATTATCAGTATTAAACACTTTAAACCTAGAAAAACGACAGTATCTTCTACATTATTGAGCAGAAAAAGGTTGTGAATCAGAAGTTGCTATCTTCGCAGGAAGGATCACTTGAAATTACGCTTAGAGTCCTTTTAATAAAATAATTAAGTCTTTGCCGCAAAAAATATGAATTAAAAATGTATGCTATGATCAAATGAGTTAAGTTTGAAATATAAAGGTTTACACCATCAGATTGCAGAGATATAGGGATTAGAAAATCAGATCAAATCATCATGATTTGTCTACACAAATAAGTAAGGTAATTTATATTTTCAAAAATGTTTTCACCTTTCACTCATTTTGGTTGGATAGGCGAATGGATCTGTGATCGCCCAGTAGCGATCTACAGATATCACACAGAGGTTGAGGATGGAGGCTGTTGATGCCAGGACATCTAGACATCTCCATATCTCACACCAAGCCAACCCAAATACCCAGGCCTGGTTCATACCTAGAATAAACTAGTATAAAATAAAGTACAGAACAGCGCAGTACAGCAAAAAAAATAAATAATGGAGATGTTAAATAGCTTACATCTTTATTTCTGGAAATATATTTCGCCCTGCAGTACAGCTTCTTTCGTTACAAAGATATAAGTTCATATGAAAACTGTTAAATCAATAATTAGAAATAAAACTCCATTAAAAATCGCAAGAAAACTGCACATTACACTGTACAAAGCAGTACATAACTGCAGAGGAAAGTACAATATAGTGAAGTACATTAATATACAGGGTGTCCCACGAAACATGACAGTATGCAGGACGACTTGAATGTCGTCTTGATTTTTGATATAATTTGCTGCGTTTATTTGTCAACCTAATTTTAGAAGTAAATTTCTAGAGATAATAATCACAAAATTTCCCTTTTCCTGCCATTTAAAGACTAAATGTCACAAATAAATTCAAATACCAAAGACGACTTCCAAGTCGTCTTGCTATTGTCATGTTTCGTGGGACACCCTGTATTACACTATAAACTATTAATTCTGCTAGATCCGATGATAATATTTGAATTATCAAAGGTTTAAACAATAAGGTTGCTAAGATATAAGAAATAGAAAATTTGAGTTTTTGGCAAAGACTCAATTCCCTCTTTAATTCAATCTAAAACTTGGCCGTAAGATTATAAAAAAGATGATATTCTCAAAAGTACCTCTATTTTTGGATAAAAAGCCACTTATATATTCTCTAGAGTGAGTTGGCTTGGAGTAATTGGAAAAGTGATATATTCTATTATGCAAGATATAGCCTATAGGCAAACAGCATCTTATATATGATGTAATAATGGTAAATATTGAATATTAAAGTTACAAGTAGGGCTGGAAAAAGTTCCGTTAAAGAAACATAGGTTTTCGGAAACAAACGGAAGAGTCCGATAGCGAACGGCAAAACTGTTAATTTTTAAATCGCTGAAGAAACAGACTAGCCATTTTTGGAAGAAACAAATTAAAGGTTGAAAAAAATATAGATTTAAAAACAGTGAATTTCTTTTTTTTTCTGCTTAAAATCGCATTTAACTTAAGTAATACTGTAATAGACCATTAACAGCTGCGCCGTTCACAATTTCATTTACCGTTAACCGTTAACCGTTAACCGTTAACGCCAACACTTTTGTAATAACTTATAATGGCTGGAGCCATTAATGGTTGTTAAAATTTTTTGTTAACGTCGTTAATAAAATTGAGATTCTTAACTTAAAAAAAAATGAAAATACCATTAACGAAACGAAGTTTCGCTCTTACCCTCTAATACTAACGGCCACCTAAGATTTTATTTTAAAAACGGTTTGAACTTTGAAAAAGGTGGAACGTGCCCATCCCTAGCTACAGGGTGCCCACCGAAACATAAAAGTTCAGCGAGGACTGGAAAATCGTCTTTAATCTTTGGAATAATAAGGACATTCATTTGTCAACTATATTTTAAAAGTAGAATTCGGTATTAAGAAAATACTCATAGTGTTGGCTTTTTTTAAATGCTGTCTACTTTCGCGCTTTAAAGATTAACAGAGAAAAATTTCGTTCAGATTTTTACAATTTCGGTGTTAATCTGAATAAAATTCCTTTTATCTGTAGTTAGTTTGATTAAGAAAGCACATTTTTGAAATGTTAGGTCTACACGGATATTTTGAAATAATTAAGTAAAGAATTTAAACTTCTAAAATTATTTTACAGATCAAAGACAATCTTAAAGTCGTCTCACAACTGGCTCGCTCAGTTGTACAGTTGACACCCTGTAAGAAAAATAAAAATAAAAATAATTTTTTTTCTGTGGATTAAGTATAAACGCTAGAAATGTTTGTTATTATTATTTACAAATAATTAGTATGATCGTTAGGTTTAGATTATTAAGGGGAATATATAATGATGGAGGGGGGGAGGGGCTTATAAATGATGAAAAAGGAGGGTCTGCGTTGAGAGAAATGGCTATGGGTTTTTTCATTTTTATCAACAAAATTTAAAGAATTTTAAGATGAGATGATATTCTTGGAATTTGTGATGCTCTGTAAATTTGCTTTTAATACATTTTCCAAGACTCATGCTCTGACACGAATTATAAAATGATTAAATTATGGTGAAGTAAATTAATTGTCTCGGTTTGCATCTTGTAGTAGAGTAAATATTTAGCTCAAGGAAGTAAAAGCAAAATTTTAGACATATAAAGTTATAATCTCCGTCTGGGTGTCTACAGGTTTGGTGTTTGTTTGTTGGTCCGAGGAGCCCATTGACCGATTTGCCTCAAATGTTGAGTGGGGAACTCGGGAGAACCACAAGAATGTTTCTGAGCTTGGTATCGAACTTCTTTGAGTAGGTCGTAATTTCGCAAAAATTTAGTTTCCTGTTAAAATCGACCAAGTTCGGGTAAACGGCAATTAGAGATCAGGATGCGGTTTTATCTGATTAGAGATCAGGATGCGGTTTTATCTGATTAGAGATCAGGATGCGGTTTTATCTGATGCAAAGTAGTTTATACATTTGTTCTTTAATTTAAGTCACATAGTATTGTAGTTTTTTTTTAGAGTAAATTCGAATATATGTACATATATTTTTATATATATGTATGTACTGTAAAATGCTTTTAGTATTTACTGAAAAGTAATGCCCATTTAGTTTCATTTCGTGAATTTTCAGGTTTGCATTTTGAGGGAAAACAATGTCTTAAAATTGTAATTGAAAAATGAATATTATAGGGTCCCCCCCCTTAGTTTCTCTTTACAATATGTTTTAGATAAAAATATATTTTTCTATCAATTGGTGTAAAAATAGTCCTGAATAAGTATTTTCTGTTTTTTCTCTTTGTAAAAATACAACAATATTGTTCAGATCTATGTTTCACGTGTATTTCAATGTGAAGAAAAACATGGATGAAAAACAAGCAATAAAAGGGTTCTGTATAGTCGCTCCTAAGTCCTAAGCCCCCTATAGGAAGCATTTAAAATCGACAAAAATCTCGGCAGAAAATATGTCATCCTGTGTGAAAATGGTTAATTTAAAGGATTCTAACCTTAAATATTTGTTCTTAAAGTTAAACATAATGTTATTAACATTGACGGTGTGATGAAACTGTGGAATAGGAAGTTGACTGTTACGGCTCTAATTGTGCATAAACAGATCCATTTTACTTAATTAAGTTGATTTTTAAGCTACTGATTAAAGTTTTATTGCTACATAAACTAAAAACTCTGATTCATCCGAAGTAATTAGATATAACAAGAGCTAGCTGTCTGTAAACTAGGAAGATAAATGTAAAAACACGCGAGGTTGCTTAAATGTCGTCTTCCATTTAACTACAGAGCTAGTATAGAATGCACAATGCACGCGTCAAACAAAAGGAAAAAACGTAAGAATTTTGTAAGTTTTTATCATAAATCCTTTTATAGGAGAGCTATTGTGAAGAACAAAAATGTTTTGAGTTTATAACATCTATCTAAACAAATTTGCTTTTCTTACACCTGTTCGTAAAATCAGAGCTGGAAAAGCAACGGAGTCACAAAGTTGTAATAGTAATGTCAAATGAATTTAACTTCCTCCTCAAGGTTTGTTTGCAGTGACAGATTTAACAGTTCAGTCCTTATTCCAAAAAGTTGTCACTTTGAATTACAAATTGACCATTTTAAAGGGAGTGACCGGCTATGTAAGGTAGTTGAACTGAGTATGCAGTGTTGTGGAAAACTTTTTTCGGATTCATTTGAGACATATCAAACTTTTTAAAGGTCTGTAAATCATGAGTTTGAGCGCAAATTCGACGTATAAAACTCCTACTTTGAGGTGGATACGTTTTCAGAATTAGTTTTTTTTTCAACTACCTTACGTAGCCGGTCACTCCCTATAAAAACATTGTTTTATACTTTTTGTCGGCGGAAGCGTTTTGAATGTATTAAAAGAGAACGCTGTAAGCACAGAGCAGAAGATATGAATAGAAAGAAATTTAAACAATCCCTCGGTATGAATTGTGTCAGTCCCTTTCGGGAGTTCAAAGTAAATGTTCACAAATTATACACAGTACATCACACTAATACAGTATGATCCCTGGACATATCCATTACAATTTCTTTGTTTTATATAGTTGTTAAATAACTATTAACGTGCAGTGTATTAGCTATAGGTGAATTTAAAATCATTATTTTCTTAAACATCAAAATGTAAAATCGTCGTTTGTAAATGTTAATAAACATTAACATTCCTCATACTCAATTTTAATATTGAGTATTTCAAAAATATTGGTTTTACTGATGTTTGATTACCTCAAATTATGAAATATATTTTTTTACTAAATAAAAACATCAAATTGTTTTTTATCGAAACTAATACTGAAATGAACTCGGGAATGCTTGACAGGCAATCAGAGAATTGATTTAGAGAAAAACAAATAATTTTTAAGAAAATGATGTTCCAGGGCCCAAAACGTTATATGGCACAAATGAGTGAAGTACACCTGCAGTATGGAAACAGTACAACAAAATAGAGTCGTTTTACACTTTTTTCTAGTAAATTTCACTCTATAATCTATTCTTTATGGCTGTAAGTTACAAGATTGTTGAATCATAGACTAAACGCAGTTAAATTCAAAATGAAGAACCCAAATACGTTTATAATAACCCTGCAGTTTGAGCAGGATGAATTCATAACGACACAGTATGATCCTCACAAATGGTTGATTTGAAACTTACATTACAACCAAAAATTCTCAAAATAAATTCATTCAAAAATATTAATTGTTTTTATGTATTGCATAGATATGTCTATATGATTAAGCTCTTCGCTCAAATATGATCATAGCCATACGGCTGAACTAAATCGGCTGACATTTATGTAGGAACCCCACTTGTACCCGGGGGTGATATAGGCTAAAAAAAAGGTTTAAACTACAGGAGATCTTAAATGTATGAAAAAGACAAAAAAAAATATTTCAGTCGCAACTTTGTTTTTAGAAGTTGAATAACGAAGCAACATGTACTATCATACATGATACTTCAAAATCCGGTTAATTTCAAGTACCAGGCCGCCTTTTAATCCGACAGTACACATAATAGTAGTGATAACCAATCAGAAGGAATTTTTAAGGTTAGGATTTACATAAACCATCAAAATAATGTTTTTGATATTTATTCTAAATCATTAATTTGTTAGTACTTAATGTATATCGAATATATCTTGCATAATAGAAATATATTCAGGCGTCATTAAACAAAAAGATGAATGTTTATGAATATATTTACAAAGATATATTCATATCTATAAATACTTTGCTTGTCTGTTTGTTTGTATCCAATAAACGTCAAAACGTCTGAACAGATCGGAACCAGATTTTGTGTGGGACATCACTTGACCCCAGGGAAATTATCTGTATGATCAAAATTTTAAAAATTAGCCTCCATTAAAATTCATATTTTATTAAATTTTAAAAATCCACGAAATTTTTCTTAAGATCCGCGAAATTTTTGTTGTTTTTGTATTGTGTATGTATTCAAAGCGATAATGTTCACAATTGAAATAGAGGATGGTCGCGAAGCGCCCTGGAAGCCTAGTAAATCTATATTTATAAACAGGGTTTCCCACATCATATATTTGATCGTGCATAGTTAAAGATTTGTGATTTTCGGGAATAAACAGAAAATCTTAGAATATTTACTAATTTTAAAAAAGTATAAGGTTTAATATAACAAGTTACATATGCAGAAAATAAGAAGTTATTTAAGTATTCTGAGTATCAATGCTAATGTCTAGATTTGACTGTACCTTTACTTAAAGTAAAATTGTCGAGGTCGCTCCAGTTGAGGTCAAAACTCGAGTTCCCAGAATAGTTCGAGTCAAGGAGGTCAGAGGAGAAGGTGGAGTTCGATGAGAAGAGTGTGTCGGAGGGGGAGGACGGGTAGGAGGGGGAGGGAGAGAAGGGGGAAGGACCAAAAACATCTTCTGGTCGACGCCAGGGCACTAATGTCTACAAACAACAAAATTTTAATCATCTAAAAAAACTTAAAAATATCGAACTACTTTTTTAGAGATTCCTCTCTATTTTGACATAATCAGCATGGTATCAACTTTGTTCATCAAGTTTTTCATTTTCATTGAATATTTGACTTTTCCCTTCTCTCTCGGGTTTGATAGGTAATCCCATTTCCAAAACATTTCCAAAACTAAAAATAATTTTGCAGTTCAAACATTTTGTTCAAAACAGAATGTGTCTAAATTTAGATTAATAACAATACAGATAGAATACTAAATGTCGTCTTTTCAAGATGCAGATGTCGCTTTTCTAGATTTATGGGTTTTTCGTTCATAATAACTCTGAGGTAGAAACCCAAAGAGTTACGCGCATGCTCTCTCTCTGTCTTGTAATTCAACGCGGCATGCGAGTAACTCCTTTTGGCTTCTGCCTCAAGGTTATTGTGAACGAAAAACCCAAAAATCCAGTGCTCTATCCGTAATAGTTATTAATCTATGGTTAAAGTCCTTAAAAAGGAAAAGTTTAAAAGCAAAATAAAATGTTATTATAAAAATCCTAACCTTGATTTTATTCATAAGTTTACCCAAGCTTAAGAACGCCGAGATACCTGAAAAAAAAATTTAAAAAATCTAAAATTAAAACTTTCAATTTGACCATTTGCTTACAGAGGTGTACGGTGTGATCAAAAAGTATTGCTAAACAAAACTTAGGGTTACTGTTATAAGAGTTTTAGCCATGTATTTTTCTTTTAAAGTTCACTGTATCTAATATTGGAATATTTTTCAGATCAGTTGATGTCAATCAAATCTTTGTTGTATAATGTAAGGAGCGTTTTCCCGAAATTAAAGCAGCTTGGTTTGTCACAGCAAGAAAGTTTTCAGAATGGTTTCAAACTTTATTCATCAGAGTCTGTTTTTATTTACCCTTTAAGAACGATCAAAATAGAAGAGAGATTGGGCATTGAATATATGAAGGACTTTTCTTGTTTTGATTTACATTTGAGATCCACAATCAATATAATCTGCACTCTTATATGCCGAGTTCATTAGCGCCTAATCCAATCAGGGTTCAGGCATGTGTTTGGTGTCTATTCTGAACCAAGAGAAATATTATGGCGGTAACATCTATCTTTCTATCTATCTCATTATCCAATCAGAGTTCTGAATCCTTGTATAGGCGCTATCAGTAAATGGAAATATTTACTTCTTCTGATACTATAGCGATCCCTGTGTCCTATGTCAGAAACTTTGGGACAACTTGAACCCAGATCTTTTTAATTTTCAAATCTTGCTCTATACAACTTTGTTCACAATGTAAAATCATTTATCAAGCTGTCTGGAAAACATATTTCTTGAACCCTTGTTATACATGGTTTAAACAATTTTCAATTTTTTTGACCAATTTTGGGGTCTTTTTTGGTCTTTTCCCGTCCGGACATGTCATATTCCTTCAAATATTCATTTTTTTCCTTTTTAACCCCATAATACCATCCTTAAAATTCACACAATTGTTTAAATAATTTGAGCCGCGGCTCAAAATGGATTGATTCTACCTAAAGTTGTATTGCATTTTTCAAGATTTAAGCCGACGCTCAATTGAAACCGGTTTTTGGCAGATTTAAGCCGCGGCTCAAATTCATTAAATTTGGACACTGAATTATGTTTCAGAGGCCAAATTTAAAGAATTTTGCCCGTGGTGTAAATTTAAGTCGCGACTCAAATATGGTTGGTTCCACATAAATCTGTATTGATTTTTTCAAGATTTAAGTCGGCGGTCAATTAAAACTGGTTTTTGGGTGATTTGAGACGTGGCTTACATTCATTAAATTCGGACATAGGGCTCTACTTGGTTTTTTCATCGTCTAGTAAAAACATTTTTTGGTAACCGAGCCTCCACAGTGTTCTCTTTGATTAATATATACAGTGAAACCCTTAATAACGAATACATCGAAAGAATTCATCAAATGTCGTATTCATCACTTTCTTATGATGGAATGTTGCAGATATTTAGTTTTTTAATTAAATGATTATATGGAACTCTTTAAAACTGTTCCCGCATATTCATGGCTATTTATTTATTTTCGCAAATACTGAAATTTACGTAGTATAGTATAAAACCCGTTGAAAAATTGTCAAGACGACATTTGTTAAATTCTTCCGATGTAATCGTTATTAAGGGTTTCACTGTATATTCCAGATATTCCTATGCTGTGACAACGCAGCTAATCCACCTTTATGAGAACACTCCTTACATCACAACAACAATCTGATTGACACCAACATGGCCAAAAAATGTATCCGGTATAGATATAGTAAAGTTTAAAACATAAATTTAGGAAAATTTTAGCGAAACTTATTGATCTGCACATCTAGTATGCTATCATGGAAGAATTTTGTCTCAAGTTTTCCAACAAACAAAAATGATCGAATCCCTTTATTTTTGTAACCTGATGTTGTAAACCTTTACAAGGTTAGATTATTTGACTATTTGAAATACCAAATGTCTACGTTATTGGGTTTAAAGGGATTAGAAAATCAGAGTTTGTGGGTAGAACATATTTTATTTCGTGAGTTTCCATTAAAATCATTTTATACTTTTCATTACAATTGGTCACTACAGGGTTACCCATAAAGGATGAGACTTTACAGACGACTGTACGGAATTTATGTATACTACAGGATGTTTGCCTGCAACAATTTTTTCTATTCTAAATTATTGTAAAAAGCCGTTAAAAGATTGTATTTAAGGTAGCAGATTCAATTTAACTTTTGGATCGTCATATTATCTGAGTTTAAGGTCGTCTCTGTAATCTCGTTCTCTGTGGGCACTACTCAAATATTAGGACTTTGAGCTGTATCATTAATCTGATCATTTTATGTTTTTCCTTGACCAAATATGTACATCCAAGAAAAATAAATACATTAGCTAAAATTTACTTGATTTGAGGGTTAAATAGCTTTATGCGCATATATAGAAACATGATTAAAAAGCACATTTCAGCTTCTCCCACGGTCAGCTTTAGTGCTAGCACTTTCAAAACGTTTTCAAATTAAAAATAAAGTCATGATCAGCATTTTTCTTTATGGGTTTTTGAATGAGAGGCAAAGATTGAACTCATTTTTCTTTTTTTAGTCAGGTCATAATTTTCACAATTCTCGGATGATTTTGTTGAAAATATGTAGAAACCTATGGCAGGAGCATTTAATAAACAAATGAATAAATCTGTATATCATGTTTGTAAGATAATTTATAGATGTTTTTGAAAGCTCTACCTCTAAATCTGACCATGTTAGATTTAGTTCTCAATGTGAATTAACAAATATTTGGTCAAAGCCAAAAATCTAGACCTAGCAGTAGTTAAAAAATTGAAGTATTTTGTGTGCTTTTAGAAACTTAAAAAAACCCTTTATTTTCACAAATCATCGGAGACAAACCTGATAATTCTCCCTTTTCGTCTAAACTCTGACACGGGCTATAGACTGTTCTTTCGAGGTTAGACTACTTCAAACTAAGAGAGGGAAATCTGAACCTCACAAACATCCTCTTACGATGGTTTCATCCCCTCCGCGCCTCCCATCATACTCTAATCCTCGGATTTTTCGTTGATTTACGGTTTCAGGTTTACTCAGGGTTTAAGCACTACTTAGAGAACCAATCCTCTCAAACATTACAATGTAGGTTTACTCAGGGTTTAAGCACTACTTAGAGAACCTATCCTCTCAAACATTACATTATAGGTTTACTGAGGGTTGAAGCACTACTAGAAGCACCTATCCTCTCAAACATTACATTATAGGTTTACTCAGGGTTTAAGCATTACTTACCTATCCTCTCAAACATTACATTATAGGTTTACTCAGGGTTTAAGCACTACTTACCTATCCTCTCAAACATTACATTATAATTACAATAAATAGCTTTTGAAACATTTCGGGGATTTTTTTGTTTGATGATTTCTTTGTTGTCATAAAAAGTCATAGAACATTTTTATCCTAACTTGCTAAAACCGTTCTCAGTAAAGATTTTCACATTTGGCTCAGCCGTTCTGACGTAATTATTGAATTCCAAACAAACCAACAATGAGGGTGTGTTAGGATTGGTAAGATGAATACACTATTTCTTTTATGTATTGTATCGTTCTACACAGTACCCCTTTTGACTCTTTGTAAACAACCCCCTTATGTAAACACATTTATAAACAATATTTGTGATATTTGTATTTATAAACAAAAAATTAGAATTGTAAACATGCTTGTGTCCTTTTGTCCTATTTATTTAGGCTTAGTAAAAGTTCAGGTTTACTAATAATTTATGTTTACTAATAGTTTAGGTTTACTAATAGTTCAGGTTTACTTATAGTTCGGGTTTACTAATAGTTTAGGTTTACTAATACTTTAGGTTGACTAGATTTATTAATAGTTTAGGTTTACTAATAGTTTAGGTTTTCTAATAGTTTAGGTTTACTGATAGTTCAGGTTTACTAATAGTATAGGTTTACTAATACTTTAGGTTTACTAAATTTATTAATAGTTTAGGTTTACTAATGATTTAGGTTTACTAATAGTTTAGGTTCACTAATAGTTTAGGTTTACTAAATTCACAATTTGTTTGTTTATGTTTTGACTGCATAAAGGGTACCTAGAAACATAAGAAAATTACAGTATACTAACAGAGCAAACTTGTCCGTCTTCACTGTTCATCTTGCAAAGCCATTATGGAAAAATCTTTATTGCCATTTACCGTTTTTGTAAAATAAACTTTAGCAGCCATAATAATATTATGTCTTTTGAAATCAGTTATTATAATGCTAATTCATAACAAAGACGATAAAAAATTCGTCACTGAATTCCCATACTTATTGGGACACCTTGTATGGTAGTTAAACTGAGAATGTAATATTGTAGAGAGTTTTGAAGGAATTATTTGAGACCTTTGAGACGTTTTTACGGTGCATATTTTTCAGCAAGCAAGCAAATTTAATCTTATAAAATCCTTATTATAGATTGTTCATTTTTGATAAATGATTTTGAGAATCTGTTTGTTTTTAAATTATTTAATAATGACGACGAAAAATGTAGGAAATTTCTACAGTAAACTATTTAGTTGTTTAGGAACAGGTTGAGAAAATAAAAATTAATCTTAACATCGAAAATAAGTAATCTTGATCAGTTACAAGTTTCTGTAATGTCTCATTTTTCACAGACATTTTCTGTAGATTTCCGGCCTGCAATTTGTTTCTGAGAGTTTACATTTCAAGGAATTATCATTTTTTCAAGTTTTAACTTAAAAAGATTTAAATACATACATTTTTCAGGACGTGGTTAGAATTTTGAAACACACAACTTTGAAAAAATGAAAAAAAAAATTGCTGGAAAACTAAAATGCTGTGGCATGGAAAAGTTGTGACTCAAGGGGCACAAGTTGTGGCGACTGGCGCATGAGCGCCTGGCTTCCCCAGCACTTTTGATAAAACTTCTTAATATTAATTTTAGATTTTCTATAAAATGATGTTCCAGGGCCCAAAAGGTTATATAGCACAAATATGTGAAGTACACCTGCAGTATGGAAACATTACAACAAAATGGTCGTTTTACACTTTTTTCTAGTATTCTATATTCTCTTTGGGCACAAGTTGTGGCGCATGAGCGCCTGGCTTCGCCAGCACTTTTGATAAAAAGTTTTAGCAAAATTCGTTGGGGAGATAAAAATTTTTTCGCAGTGTTATAAAAGCAAACCGTATCAACATCAAAATCAAAAATAAAAAATTATTAGACGGTAGTTGGGGTAGTAAGGGTAGTTGCCATTCAGATTCA